AAACGAATTACTGTGCAAGCTAGTTTACATTCACGTGTGGTGTACAATTACATTCAAGCCATGGAACATTGAACCCTGTGTGAGCCCAGTCAAGGACAATAACGAATGTGAGATTCATCATCGCCAAAACCATGGCAGTGTTGAAGATATGAAAATGGTTGGTAGGTTCGATTTCATGGTAAAATGTTGTGTAAATTCGTTGTACTTGTGAATCCTGATTTATCACCGTATTATTGAACGCGAGAACAAATATGGTTACCTCCAGCATCAATGTAGTTGTATCAAGTCACTGCCGTAAGGAGATATTTCCTTTGTATCGCTTACCAACATTGTATTGTACTTCTTTCCTTTATTTTCCTTTACACAATTGGAAACTTGCATGGTGCACTTTCACCCCCACCTTCCCCAAATTACGAAGCTATCAAGTCGATTAGTAGGTATACAAATGTAGGATGTCTGTGTGTTGATGACTACTGCGTTGTGTAAGGGCTTCTCGTACGTAAAATGGGGCCCATTCCCAGACAAAATATCTATTTACACAGAGCTGACAAAATTCGCCTACATGTGTGAATATATGTTGGGATTTGGAGAAAAAAACTCGTAAAACATACCGAATTTACCGTGACAGCAGTGACCAATTTTGATGCCGATTGCTGGTGGGCTGATCAGCATGTCGGATTATTTCTGAGAACGTTCTTTGTGTGGGAAATCACAAAATTATTAGCACTAAGTTGGCTGGTTTATTTTATTTTGTGTCAGAGTACCCTGTACAAATGACGTGAATCGACATGCGATGATTACCAAAACAATTTGACAATCGGTGTCTCATTTGTTCACCGCCCCCTCACAACGGTGATTTGTTACGATCGACTGTGATTTGTTATGAGGGGTATTTTTTCCCGGCCCTTTTCGTCAGAAATTAGGAATTTATTGGCTCTAATATATCCTAGTTTACTTTAGTTGTTTCATCCAAGTATTCTGTACATTGATTTTACCTAGCAAAGGAAACAATCGGTGTCTGACTTTGTTATATTTACACTATTGCAACATCTTATGTGGGCCACTATGTGTTTCACTATTTTTTTTCATTGAATATTACACGGCACGATATCCCTCAAATCGGAAGGCACATTTATTGCTCAAGTTACTGTTCCTATTAAGTTAAGCCATGGAGCAAAAAAGAAAATATGGTTAAGCTGAATACCATGCTTCATGTGGAATGTATAGACCGTGAT